CTACTGGGATTTTATGAAGAAGGCAATGTACGGGAAACTACTGATTTTTGGCAACTTTTTGTGCTTCATAAGTTTTGATCGGAATAATATAGGCGTCTGAAATTTTCAGCACAGATAGAGCAGTGCAAGACATATGTCTCCTGAAAACTTCAGCTACCTAGGTTGTTCCGTTCGCACATGAGAGTTCGCTGAAAAACCGCTTTTCAATGAATATTAGCTTTGTCTGGGTTCGCATTCTTCCAAAAAACGGATTGCCTTGGAAATTGACCTTTAGAAGTTGAAAGTACTCACTTAGAGCTACAAGCCTGTTAGCGTCCATGATGGATCACTTGGACGCTAAACGATGATTAAGATGCTCCTTCTAGTCTAATTGACTTAGGACAACTGCCCGGATAGCAGGAGATATGGGTTCGATTCCCATGAAGGTCATCTTTTTCATCGTTCTGTCACATAACACCAGTGACACTGCTTGTCTCTTTCGTTCTATACATATTAGAGCTAACAATGGTGGAGAAGTTGTGCAAGCAATACACCGTATATACAACTCCAGCACATGTTCGTACGTTCTCCTCTATGCGAAGGTGCATAGAAAAGCAAAAAGAACTGTGCAAAGGGGGGAGGTGTTAGCGTCCATGATGGATCACTTGGACGCTAACAAAGCCCAAAAAGAATTAACGTGGGATCTCTAGAAATGGTTTGCACCGGAGGTCATCTTTGGGAGGTGTATCTGTGATGAGTACACCTTTTTATGAGGGTTTTTGGGTGTGATTGTGAGTGTTGTTTACTTCAGGGCTAATCACACCCACACTCACCCAGACACCAACACCCCGGCCGACACCCATACTCTACACCCACATCCACATCCACATTCACATCTACACCCTTGGGCAAAAGTCTTTCCCCCCACCTCTTTTTTCGGCAAGGTTTTCTCTGCTATTATAAGGACAAAACATGGTGTTGTTCGGGCTATATAAAAGAGGACCCTAATAATCCTTAATCGGCCCGAACAACACCATGTTTTGTCCTTATAATAGTAGAAAAAGCCTCGCTGAAAAAAGAGGTGGGGGGAAAGACTTTTGCCCAGAGGTGTATATCCACACTTACATCCACACTCACATACACCATACGCAAACCTCCTTTTAAACAATATTTCGTTTTACCAAAGGTGTTTTTCTTTGTTTGCTGTCATTGTTTGTCTATTCTCTATATTGTGTACGTTAGTGTTGCCATGAACATTACTTTTCAAGAAAGCCTTTGATTGAGAGAAATTGTAAAAAAAGGAAAGAAAAACAGAGAAAAAAAATAAAATAAGTAAAGCCTTTCTATGTTGCACAAGTAATACAAGAGTTGTTCGACAAATAACCGAAGCATTTTGCATATACAACATTCAGCCAAGTTAGAAATCATTTTTATTGAAGGTTTTTGGAAAATTTTATTTGAACTATTATATCTTGGTAAGTAACGTACGACCATGGTTCCTAAGTACGTAGGTGTTCGAGCCTTTTAAACGTTATTAGTGTAACGGATGTATAACTAGAATATTGATTACAGAGAAGTGAGAGAAAAATGAAATAGATATCCATGATAGACTTTCGTTTATCTGATCGATCGATGATTTATTCTCAGTCGAAAATCTATCGAGTGTATTCACCTGTATGCATCGTATACAAACTTATTAAATTAAGGGTTATTTCTTGTACAGTTTTGTTCAAAGTTTAGATGATTAGATTTATACGTGCGTATCCTATATTGTGAAACACGATATAAAAGGAGTGTTGAAGTATATAGGGTAGAAATTTGCACCTCCCTCCCCACCAGAAACCTGACAGACATCATTAGCAACGACGCGTCACAGACGTCACAGACACATTGAAAATGGCTTATCACACACGTGACAAACGTCCTTAGTAACGACCTATCACAGACGTGACAGATATCACAGATCGGGACAGACAGCTTAGTAACGTCGGTCGCGTCATAGACCGTGACAGACACCCTTAGCAACGCTTTCTGTCTGTCACGGAGCGTGACAGACATTACTAAGGGACCATTAAAGACTATTGTCTTTACTCTTCACACTCTTTCTAACAGCACCTAGTTACTGAAAAACTGAGACATACGTTACTAAATTGCTTCATTCGCAATATAAAAAGTTCCATCGTGTTTCATATTTTTAATCCCGAAAGAGATTGCGCTGAAAGCATTTATTTATCGCGTTTCAACGATTTTCGATAGTGAGATAGAACTATGAAGATAATGTCACTTATTATTTCATAAGATAAGAACTAAAGACGATGCTTTTGTGCTTCGAAAATTTGTGTATGTATAGGGTGCGGAAGTGGGTGTGTGTAAGTGTGGCTGTGGCTGTGGCCGTGGATGTGGCTGTGGGGTGCGGCTATGCCTGGAGCTGTGGCCGTGAATGTGGGGTGTGGGTGTGGGTGTCGGTGTGGGTGTGGGTGTCGGGGGCGGGGGGGGGGGGGGGGGGGGGAGAAAAAAAAACCACCCTCCCCCCCCCCCCCCCCCCCCCCACACAGCCAAAACCACCCACCCACGCCCACACCCACACCGACACCGACACCCACACCGATACCGACACCCACACCGACACCGACACCCACACCCACACCGACACCCACACCCACACCCCACACCCACACCTCACACTTACACCCACACCCGCTAATTTCTCGATGATAACAAGTGAGTAAAAGGAAAGCTATATATCATTGGAAAGGGGGACTCCAAGGATTCTCCAAATATAAAAATATTTTTAATTGGATGTACAATAGCTGAGAACCAAATGAAATTAAGTAAGACAAAATTTTCACGTCGTTATTAGGAAAATCGATTGTATTGTTTAAAAGAATAAACAAACGTTTGTAAATGTTCAATCATAGAATTTCATTTTTCTTTCGTTTTTTACAGAAAGTAATGGCTACCTCCAATACCAGTTCATCATTTCGTCGCAAACGAGCACTTATCATCGGTAATAATAACTATAGTAGGCCTGAGAGCAAACTTCGTCACTGCATTAATGATGCCGATGATCTTTGCAAGCTACTCAAGACAATGAATTTCGAAGTGACAACATATCACGATTTGACTGATGGACAAATGACTGAATACATTCGCGATTTTCAAAATACGATCATTAACGGTGATCTAGTTATATTCTACTTTTCTGGTCATGGCTACCAAGTAAATGGTAAAAATTATTTGATGCCTGTTGATGATGCTCAAATTGAAACTGATGAAGACGTAGAAGATAAGGCTTTTGAAGTCGACAGAACACTTGACAGACTGGCAAAAAGAAACCCATCATATGTGACTATTTTCATTCTGGATTGTTGTCGACAATATTGGCCCACACAGACACCTAAAACAAGAGGTAACTAGGGACTTCAAGCGTCATTTATAAAAACGATAGACGTCTGTTTCTTCAGGTGGTCAGGGTACAGGTCTCCATGAAATTGAACCACCGATTGGCACATTCATTCAGTTTGCATGCGCTGCCAATAAAACAGCTTGTGATGGATCGGAAACAGATCGAAATGGTCTATTCACCAAACATTTGTTGAAACATATTGCTAGTTCAGACGATGATATTACTCAAATCTTTCGAAAAGTCGCAGCTGATGTATACGAGGAAAGCAATCATAAGCAGAGACCACAGAGCATGGATGGAATACTAAGATCTGGGTCCATATATATAAATGATAAAAGAATTATTCAGACAGGTAAGATGCATGGAACATAAGCGACAGTAGTGAGTTTTCATGCATCGCTTAAATTTCTCCTGTGATGGTAAGACGACAAAATTACTTACAAATCACAGAAGCATGGTTTTATTTGAGACTTCACTGAAGTTGACTATTATCTGCACAAATACTACATTTTCATAATGAAGTGATATTTGGGTTCAAGCGTGATGTCAAAATATCCGAAGGTCGGGTGTCGAGATTTTGACATACCAATATATCTTGAAAAACTCAGGATTCTGACTGAATTCGGTGTAACAAGGTACACACCCAAAAATATGGATACCCTATCTCTGAGAGTTGACGGTTTTGAGTGGATTTGGTGTAACTGGATGGATGCCTAAAAAAGTGGATACGCTATCTCTCCGAGATGGGGATTTGAAGAGAAGGGTGGAGTGTGGGTGTGGGTGTGAATGTGGATAAAGGTAGAGAGAAAATCAACACCCACATCCACACCCACACACCCAACCGATACATAATAGGTTTCTGTCTCGAAGTGCATCGCCTAAAAAGTTATTTACTTTAAACCTATTTATTTGAGATACCGAATCATAAAAATTCAGTCAACATAGTCAATAAAACTTGTATTTTTAGTAATCTTTTGCTTTTTCTTTGGTAAAAATAAGTAACTATGTTCTTATGGTTTACAGCGACACATAAATTATAGTATTATGTGATCAGCAGACATCAGAACTAGCTATAGTTGAGTGTAGTGTATGAGTATTAAATAGATAAATAGTAATACCATGAAAACGATTTATGTTATCAAAAGACTAAAAATGCTCGTAAAGCATCTTCTGTAACTTAAACTACTAATTTTGTGAACCCATTAAATAGTATCCATATTTCTATAGTCAAACGAAAAAGATAGAAGTTAATTTTAATGTTCCAATATTAAATAAACAGTAATTAGTGGCCATAATAATTTGCTGATACCAAAACCATTCAATATACTGAAACGACTTATCATGCTGATATGTGAAATACCATTTTAGGATAGTAAATAAGCTTTCACTTTTTTTGGAACATTCTATATGACGAAAAAATGAATTACAGATTGAAATTAAGTTCCACTAGAACATGAAAATCTCCTTAGAATGCCGTGTTAAGCAGCTTCCTTTTTGAAAGTTTGAGATTTCCGGCATTAGAAATAAACGTTGATACCGAAAGGATTCTTACGAAGTGCTTTTTTTAAAGTCTAGATTACGGGCAGACTGGCTGATTTTTAATCCTTTCTTCTGTATGAGAGGAGAAAATCTCTTCGATAATGAGGCTTCATTTTCTTTGTTCACTATAGATATTCCCTATATTCCAATCAATGCTCGATGGTCACAGAATGGAAGGACCGTTGCTGGAGGGCATGGAATAGGCAATAAAACAAATCAACTCTTCTGGCCTCACGGTATCTTTGTTGATGATCATCAAACGATGATCATTGCTGACCATTGGAATCATCGTATCGTCCAATGGAAGATGGGTGATACGGATGGGCAAGTTGTAGCTGGTGGCAATGGCCAAGGAAATCGATCGGATCAATTGGATCGTCCAATCAATGTGGTGATCGACAAAAAGACTAATTATCTTATTATCTGCGATCAGAAAAATCGACGAGTCGTACAATGGTCTCGCAATAGTGGCACAATTCAAGGAGAAATCCTAATCGACAACATTGATTGCTATGGATTGTGCATGGATGACGACAGATATCTCTATGTCTCTGACACTGAATTACATGAAGTAAGACGATACGGAAAAGGAGACAAGAATGGTACTATCGTGGCTGGAAGAAATGGCAAAGGTGCTAGTCTCAATCAACTCAACTGGCCAACCTACATATTTGTCGATCAACAACAGGCTGTCTATGTGTCCGACAGTGGTAATAACCGTGTAATGAAATGGGATAAAGGTGCAACAGAAGGCAGTATCGTTGCTGGAGGTAGAGGCAGAGGTGATGCTCTGACACAATTATCTGATCCTAACGGACTCTTCGTCGATAAGCTGGGTACTATCTATGTGGCAGATTCGAGGAATCATCGAGTGATGCGTTGGCCTAAAGCAGCAAACGAGGGTGTTGTCATTACGGGTGAAAATGGTGCAGGAGCAGAACCAAATCAGCTCAATTGGCCCCGTGGTTTGTCCTATGATCAACAAGGTAATCTCTATGTCGTCGATTACTATAATCATCGTGTTCAATTTATTTCTATTCAAAAAACAAAGAACTAAATAAATAGACAATTAATGTAATAAAATAAAAAAGAGTGTGAGTGTGCACTTTTCACCCACACTCACATCCACCGGTATCCTTTCCCAAAACCGGCGAAAATTTCTATCTTCAAAATAACGACCAATAGTAATTCCTTGTATTGAACACTATTCTTCCGTTTTTTGGAAAATACTAGGGTAATTTCTATCATAGGAACTGTACAAACAAAAAAATGATTTCTTTTCAAGAAATCTAAAACAAACTGTCTTATGCTAAATCAACAGAAGTAATCCATTCAAATAGAGTAAGTGATTAAAGCTAATGTGCTAAAAAGCTTACAAGCATCAGGTTTAGGAAAGAGAATCAGTTCTCAAAATTGTAATTTGTCGTAGTTCTATCTATGGCATAAAGTTTAACGTTAAAATTAAAATAATATCCAAAAACAGTCATCAGAACTCTAGAACCAACTATTGCAACACATTTTATATGAATTTTAATCTAATGTTTGTCGTAAGAGCCATTTCATGTAAGCCACGACCTAATCCATTGAGAGGTGCTCAATCAACGATTTCAGATTTCGCTCATTTTCATATATGTGACAGAGGCAGGTATTTGATGGTGTTTGACGCAAACCGCATCAAAAAATATTGAACCAGTGATTTTTTATTGAATCTTTACGAAAAGCCCTAAAATCCACGACCATAAGATTTCCGCCCATTGTCGCAACTACCCAGTGAAAAATATCCCTCACAAAATCTTGATTTTTTTTTTATGATGGCTGGGCAAATCCGGTTTCTCGAACCAAACTACCTCTTTTTGTAACAGAATCCGATTAAAATCCAACAATCGATTGTAGTTTCCATCTATTCAATCAATTATTGGTGATTCCACCCTTTAAAATCTAATTTTAATCGAACAAGAAATTGTAATCTTCCCAATCGATTTAAATTTCAATCTTTGAAAATCAAATTGATAGATTATCAATCGATTATTTCTTATTAATACAGTTGAATCTGATTTGAATCCTTCAATTGATTAAAATCTTCTCAAACCATTAAAATCCCAATTTCTCAAAATCGAATTGGTAGATTATCAATCGGTTATTTCTAATTACTACAGTTGAATTTGATTTTAATCTTACAATCGATTACAATTCCAATCTTTTGCAACCGGATTGAGGGATTTCCAATCGATTGTTTCGAATTAACTCATCTGAAACAAGTTTTCAATTCTACAATCAATTAAAATCTTCTCAATAGATTGAAATGCCAATCTCTAGAAATCGAATTGGTAGGTTATCAAGCGGGTGTGGGTGTAGGTGCGGGTGTGTGGGTGTGGGTGTGGGTGTGGGTGTGGGTGTGGGCGTGGGCGTGGGTGTG